CACGTGTTTTACTAAATTCACTGGTTGCCTCATTCCATTACTTTAGTGTCGGTATCAGTGTAGCATTAGACAAAGAACTTGTGACAAACAGTGGGACAAAGAAAGAAATGCTGAAGAAATTATAGGTTGGGTTGACAAATCAGACACTTGCAGATAAATGATATACCATAGGATTTATTAACACCAGACCAGGTCAGAACCCAGATTAACAAAGCACAATACATAGCGCAAAGGTGTAACAGAATCAGATAAACAAGCGAGGGTCGGATCCAAAGAGTAAATACACAGGTAGACTTAGCCAAAGGGACAATCTGAGAATCAGCAACAAGAAACAGAACAAGGTCATAAACAGGGTAGCTAGCAAATAAGAGACCAGCTCAGTCTGCACTGACGGAACAGAGGCAACACTTCACAAAGAAAGAATGCAAACCGACAGGCTTATATACACAGGAACATAGGTGTTGACAATCAATACTCAGGTGACTGCGATCTGCTGGTTGGCGTGTGATTGGTTAGTGGAGTCACATGACAAACGGAGGGATTCTGAGAAGTGGAGTCCGCAATGGAACCAGGGGGTGTGACAAGAGCCAATGTACACACATTTGAATCAAGTAAATTTAAAGCAACCTTTAAACCATCTTTTTTCAGTGTAGTCTTGCATTTGAATTGTGGTATGTAGGCTCCCACCACTTGATTTACCACTTGCCAGATCAATTTTGCATCCCAGAAATCAATCACTATTATCTCTTAATATATATATATATATTTTTTTTTGCTTGTTTGTTAGTTACTGTTTCCTCCCACTTCTTGGTCTCTTTGGCTTCCCACCACCTTTTCCAAATTGTCTCTTAAAATGTGTATGTTGTCAGTTACTCAGTGATATCTATAATATAAATTACAGCCTGTTCTGTTACACCAAGCCCACCATTCCATCCTTGGACATATCAAAGCTTGGTTTGTACATTTGGGGAGCCTTCAAAGCCTGAGCACTTTTGGAGTGCATATAAATGTTCTAATAAGTGTGGATACTTGTGTTGTAAAGAAACAGCGATGCCACAACTGAAACTTAAGACTTGAAATAGGAAATTTGCTCTCCTCCAAATCTTCTTTAAAACTCTCTGAAAGATCAGAAACTTTCATCATTAAACTTTACAGGCACTCTAGACATGTGACATGTGCAGACTGTTTCTCAAGCATTTCAGCAAAAGCGCTGGTGAACACTTGCAACACAGAGGAGGCATCTGGAGTCCAGACCAACTTCAGTTACCATCAAAAGACACACTCTCTCTCTTCCTTTCTCTCTCTCTCACTCTCTCTCTCTCTCTCTCTCTCTCTCTCTCTCTCTCTCTCTCTCTCAGACGGATGTATGTTGTGTCTCAAGTCAAGCACTTCTACCAGGGTTGGTCTTTGCATTGGGCAAAGAGGCCCCCATAAAAAACAAATTAGATCTGCTGTTGCTGATGTTCAATAATCTATTCTGAAATATATATATATATATATACATTTTAAAATCAGTTTTAATTTGTGATTGTTATTTTTATTAGTGTCAAAGCAGCCCCACCCCCAGGCCATGGTTATAATGGTACATTCCATGTTGTTACCTCATGATACAACCTCGTACAGATGGACTGGAATGAACAAGGCAATAAAGTGATAATCTACGTTATGGATTATGGATTTTCTGGGTGTTGAGAGGAAAAATGCAAAAATAGCGAGCAAAGCAAAAATTTGTTGCTTCACTCCCAAAGCTAACTCAGCACAGAGTGCAGCAGGCTCAGCTGACTGTACAGTGCTGTAAAAAGTATTTGTCCCTCACCCAATTTTCGCTATTTTTGCTAATTTGTCACATTTAAGTGTGTCAGATCATCCAACTAATTTTAATATAAGATAAAGACAACATGAGTAAACACAACATGCAGCTTTTAGATGATCATTCCATTTATTGAAGTTAAAGATTTATTCAAAACCTATATCACTCGTGTAAAAAAGTAATTGCCTCCTAAATCTAATAACTGGTTGTGCCACCCTTGGCAGTAACAACTGCAACCAAACATTTGTGATAACTTGTGATGAGTCTTTTATATCACTGTAGAGGAATTCTGGCTCACTCTTTCTTTGCAGAATTGTTTTAATGCGGCCACATTGGAGGCTTTTTGAGCATGAACTGCCTGTTTAAGGTCTTGCCACAGCATCTCAATGGGATTCGAGTCAGGATGTTGACTCAGCCACTCCCAAACTTTAAATTGGTTTCTTTTAAGCCATTCAGACGGACTTGGTTGTGAGCTTCGGATCATTGTCCTGCTGCATAAATCAACTGTGCTTGAGCTTTAGGTCACAAACTGATGGCCGAACGTTCTCCTTCAGGATTTTTTGATAGAGAGCAGAATTCGTGGTTCCATCAATTATGACAAGCCTTCCAGGTCCTGCAGAAGCAAAGCAGCCCGAGATGCCATTTTTCCCCAGTATCTTTCTTATTGTGGAATCATGTATATTGACTATATTAACTGAGGCAAGTGAGGCCTGCAGTTTTTCAAATGTTCATCTAGGTTCTTTAGTGGTCTCCTGGATGAGTCACTGATGCGGTAACATTTTGGTAGACTGGTCACTCCTGGGAAGGTTCACCACTGTTCTGAGTTTTCTCCATTTGTAGACAATGGCTCTCACTGTGGTTCTCCAGATCTGTAGCAATGGCTTTGTAATCCTTTCCAGACTGGCAATGTCAATGACTTGAATGTTACGCATCTGTATTTGAATCTCCTTTTTTCCTGCTTTTTGGGACCTTTTAACCTGCTCCACATTGCCAGACAGGTTCTATTTAAGTGATGTTTAGATTCAACATGTCTGGCAGTAATCACATCTAGGTGTGGCCAATAAAACTGAACCCAATAGTCAACTGAATTTGGTTATCTGGTTGATTTAGTAGATAAGGGGGAAATGACTTTTTCACATAGGGCCAAGTAGGGCTGAACAGCATTTTTCCTTCAGTCCATGAAGTCATCATTTACAAACAGCATTTTGTGTTTACTTGGGTTATCTTTGTCTTATATTAAAAGAAGTCTGATGATCTGAACCATTCAAGTGTGACAAAAATACACAAAAATAGAAGAAATTAGAAAGTAGTAGTATCTGTACTCAGGCTTATTAAATACTAAGGCTTATTATTATCGCTTATTATTATTCAGGAACTACAGGGACTTCAGTGCAAACTGGCTGGGCTATTCTTAGGTTATAGAAATAATAGAACACAATGTGCTGGATCAACTGACCTAGTGCTGGAGTTTTCCATAAGTCTTCCAACAGTGGTGTCTGGGTTTCATGGACTTCTCATTGATGCTCTGATCGGCTTCGAAAAGTAGTCCTTGGTTTTCAATTATTAATTTAAATACTTCTTTCCAATGACAGACTCATTTCTTTACTCAATATTAACTATTTTACATTCACTCATCAGGTCTGCATTCTTTACTCATGGTGCTTCTTTTGTGTCAATGTTTTGCTTTCCAGGGTCAACCAGAAGAGAATAAGTTCCCTTTTTGAGTCTTAGTTCCTCTCAAGGTTTCTTCCTCTTGCTCTTAGGGAGTTCATTTTTCTTGCCATCATTGTGCTGGGTTTGCTCATCTGTGGCTTGAACTCAGATTTCTGTAAAGCTACTTTGTGACAAAAGCTGTTATTCAAAGTGCTGTACAAATACAATTGAATTTAAATGAATATATTGAATTAATACATGGAAGTAACTTTATTTTTTTCAAGTGCCTGGGACAAGGACGAGTGCCAAGCAGGAAAAGTCCTGTGTAACATATAATGCCAGTCAGTGGTCACAATGGTGCTACATGTACATGCACTTGTGCATTTAAAGGGCTTTTCTTTAAACCATGCACCCTTGATTACTGTTGCTATGGCTGTCAAGCTTTCAAGTCTTTGACCCAGCTATGAATGGCAAGATTCAATGGCAAGATTAGTCAATTCACTCTGTGAAATTCAGTCTGTCTTCAATAACTGTGTAGTTACACATTAATAATGCATGCATAACAATGTAACTACTGGCAATGCATTTCCTGTTACAGATACACATGTAACAACTTCAGTTTGTACTCATCTAATTACACAAGTGTATCTTGAAAGTTGTAACAGCATATTTTCTCTAATGTAATTACACATGTATACGCAGTGGACGGTAATTACATTTGTGTGAGCTGCTGCTTTTTCCGACAGAACTTTTCTGATTGTAAGAGGTGTGAAATTACCTACATTATGACAGTAGATACACTGCATCTGCACAGAAAATGACAACTTTCCAAACATGGCTGTAACAGTGTAATGTGCCTGACCAAAGTTCGGGCCTGGCTTTAAAGCATTCTGTACTGTGACTGGTGTACATGGGTGAAATATGAAGTTAATACACATGTATATTTACATAAGCTGCACTACTGTAATCCATCTGTAACTGAATGCATCAACAGTAGTTACATCATTGTTGTATGTATTGATAAAACGTAACTACACTGTTATTAGAGACATTTAACATAAAGTGGGACCTGAAATTTTGAGCAGGTGCAAAACATATAAACTTTCACTAAAAATCACTCAAAAAAGATGTTCAGTATGTATTTGAACACTACCTACATAACATCCTGATCTCTAACAGTGCAAAGAAAATATACAAATATATAAAAATAAAGCAAAAACTTAAAAAAGCACCATTATTCCTGTATTGTAGGGCAGGTAAATGACCAATGGCTGAATGACCAAAGACAATCCTTTGCCTAGTCTTATAGTGATGGACATGCCCCCAGCGTCCCCTGTGTAAATGACACCTATGCTTTTATTCCTGAGTAATACAAATGTTGCCAGTTCACCCAGTAAGACTGGTGCTACACTGTACACGTGAGGTTATTTGCTTTGCTGTTAAATATTTTTTTTTTATTTAAACCTGCTTGTTGATTGTATGGAGGCTATTTGCATACAATTCAGTTGCTGAATGGAGACAGACTGAAAGCACTTACTGTGACTCTGAAGGGCGTGGCAGCAGCTGTGGGCTCCATTGTGGGTGGGGCTTTGTCAGGGGCGGATCCTGGCATGCTGCGCCTCCGTCCCGTTTTCTCAGGAGGAGAATCTGAGAGAGAGAGAGAGAGAGAGAGAGAGAGAGAGAGAATGAGAGAGAGATTGGAATTCATATCAGTACAAGAACTTTTCCAAACAGCAACAGAAAGTTAGAAAACCTGACACTCCCAAAAATGATCAATGCGCCTTAGCAAATTGTGCACTCTTAAGCAAAATATGTAGCAGGAGGCCACATTATCACTAGTGGTAGCGTTGTTATTGTGATTATTATTATTATTATTATTATTATGATTATTATTATTATTATTATTATTATTGTTGTTGTTGTTGTTGTTGTTATTAACTTGATTACTATCTGCTGCACAAGCAGTTGCTTTAAGACTTCACGAGAACCACATCTCCCCCTAACATTTAATCATAACACTAAACTTTTAATCAGCATTTTTACCAGATAAAAAGTGTGAACTATCCACTCACTGCACTCTGGTGCTGTCTGCTTATTTAATGTGATCTGCGTCTGATAGACAGTATAGTCTGCGTGAATGTGTTTGTGGAAGCTCACCCTATAGAACCCCATTGAAGCTGGGCTTCAGTACAAGTTGAGACAGAATCAACTACACTGTAAAAAAAACAACTTAAAGAAAGTGACCTATGTCACATTTTTGTTGAATTTGAATTTGAAAAATATGGTTTAAAATGTTCATTTTAGTTAAATCAATACAATCTGCGTTAGTACCACATAAATATGTATATAAGCATGAAGAGTGTAGTTTAAAAGTGTGTTTTGAACTGAACTGAAATTGATTGAGCAATTGTTGGCATACTCAAACAGCTTCAACAGATCCATTTCAGATATGAAACTCATACAGCTGAAAGTTATGAGTTCACCAAAAGCATCAACACAACAAACATACATTCTGTGCACCCCCCTTCCCCATCACAGCACAAAGGGTCTAGTTCCAGTCTTATCTCCTTTTAAGAGGCAGATCTGAGCATGTCCTCTGTTTGTGCACTGAGTATGGAGTGTGTGTCTATGGAATGTGAAACTTTAGAGGCACACTATCCAGCACATGCAGAGATGCTTAAGGGTCAGTCACAGAGTTCACATTAACCCACATGTAAGATGACCTTCCCATATGCACAGCCTGATAACCCTCATGCTGTATGTGTCAAACCACAGAGCACACCTTAACCTAAACACAGCACTTTTATCTTCATCTGACTCCTACAATAAGTTGCGGCACAAAATAAAACGCATTACTGCTGACCTAATGGCATGTTGCCCTTACTTAGCACTGTCAACTGTTGGTTGCAGCTACTATATACAAGGCTAGCTCAGCAACTTTTCTAGCTATGCAAAAATTTTGGCCTGTTTTTAAAAGTGGGGCTAAACAGCTTTGGTGTGGCATTCACTCATGTCATGTCTCATCATAAGACCTGTACTGTACTCGCTCTCAAAGATGCAGAAAAACATTAATTAAGTGGCAATAGCACCCCAATGTGGGGAATCTGAATTACTGTGGAGAAAATTAATTATCTTTTACAAAATGAACACTGAACTACAGAGCTGCTTATTTTCTTCCAGAGTTGAATTGACAACTTATTACATGTATAAGGCTAATACTTTACACTTGCTACCTGTTCAAAAGGTTTATATACCATCCTGCACAAACACACACACACACACACACACACACACACAAAACAGCATTTGCAACATTACAGCAAGGCCAGTCCACTTATTTGCTTTTGCCTCATGGAAACACGTCCACTTTGCCCTCTTACAGCCTGAACACAGGTTTCTATTAGACTTACATTGTCATCAGTGACATTTTGATTGACAGGTACCACCCCACTGGTCAGAAAGTGCATCTCCTGGCCCTGTCGTTCCCATGGCAACTAAATCTCAGGCGCAAGGAGATTCCAAGCGCTTTGGCTCTCTGGCTCGAGGAAACAATGCCACCTGTCAGCCCCCACACTCACACACACACACACGCACTCACAGGAGCTTTATACAAGACTCCAATCTTCAAGATCCAGACCCAGTTCTGAGCTGTCAAGACAGCTGTGATACTCCTTATTGCCGAATTCAAGACCCAAACCAAGTCTGTAAAGACAGACAATCGTGTTAACAATGATTGTAAGAACGTAAAAATGGCCCAATAAGTCATATGAGTGTCATAAGATTCTCATTTGATGACACTCATATCACAGATTATGGCAGTATGACATTTACGATACAGAGTCCTGTCAGGTAACGGGACTTTACCAGCCCAATAGCCTGTCAGGCGTCACAAAATGAGGACATTGTAATTTTACATCAACAAAGGCCTTTATGCACCGATTGCGATTTATCTGTGTCGTCTGATTTTGGTAAATGTGTTCCAACACATATTAACCTTTAACTGATGATACCTTGCACACCAAATTCATTTGTTTTTGGATTCTGAAAATGCAACATTATCTTTTTCGCCCCTATTTAGTTTTTCACAGGCACCATAAACTTACTCGAGTCATCATTGTTGTCAATGTGGCTGGCATGGCAACATAAAGATGGGTCAGCTGTGCCGCAGCAACCTGTACTTTCTGTCGAACATTAAAAGGTTGGTTTGTTCGCCACATGCACAAAAGCAACTCAGACCGGTTCACAGACATCTGAGAACTATGTGCAGAATAAAGTGCTCGTTATAAATCTCCTGGAGGAGAGTTTGAAATGCTCCCAGCTCCGTCTCACATTTTGCATTGTTTTGGCTCCAAAATATTTTGCGTTGTTTGATTTCGTGCTGTTCGCTCATGTCGTGTTCGCAAATGCAATATATTCTTGTGATTTAACACAATTTATCTATGGTATTTAAACACAAGTATAACTCATGATATCTCTAACACCAAACACGATTCTTGGGATTGTGAAGATGTGACATCATTTAACTCAGCCCTGGCTTAACTTCTGCAGACTTTCACCGGTGAAATGAACCAGCTGTACCAATCAGAGTATGTGAGTGGAGTGGCAGATATTTTGGCTCAAAGCATTCTATAATCACTCCATTCCAGCTCCGCTCCGGGTTTCCTTTTTCCCGATCCTCGCTCACTCACATGCTCCATGTCCGCTCCATGTGGTTCATTGTTATGATATTTATTTTACACGCATCATTCTTTCTACTCTCATCAGCTGTTGCCCTGCATACTTTGTTAGCACCCTTTTCTCCAATGGTCAGGACCACACAGGACCACCACAGGGCAGGTATTATTTGGGCAGTGGATCATTCTCAGCGCTGCAGTGACACTGACCTGGTGTGGCACTGTGTCCACTCACTGTCCGCTCTATTAGACACACCTACCCTGTTCATCCACCTTGTAGATGTACAGTCAGAGACAATAGCTCATCTGCTGCTGCACAGTTTGTGTTGGTCATCCTCTAGTCCTTCATCAGTGGTCACAGGACGCTGCCCACAGGACGCTGTTGGCTGGATATTTTCGGTTGGTGGACTATTCTCAGTCCAGCAGTGACACCGAGGTGTTTAAAACATCCAGCAGAACTACTGTGTATGATCCACTCGTACCAGCCCAACACACACTAACACACCACCACCACGTCAGTGACACTGCAGTGCTGAGAATGATCCACCACCCAAATAATACTGCTCTGTGGTAGTCCTGTGGGGGTCCTGACTGTTAATGAACAGGGTGAAAGGAGGTTAAAAAGGACTACAGTCTGTAATTTTAGAACTACAAAGTGCTCCTATATGGTCAGTAGAGCTGATAAAATGGACTGTGGCTTGAATGTATTGACAAGACACTACGCCCTTCATTTCATGAACTATAGAATTCATTGCTGTTACTAAACTGTTGCTTCATGGCTGTTTGGCAACATTTTGTTGTGATTGGTGAGAATTCCCTGTATAAGTCCGCTGGACAGCCTTGTAAACCTCGGTATGTAGACCTTGTGAGTGAAAGTAGGTGCTTCGTTATAAGAATCTCGTTCTGGTATTTTGTGCTTTGACTGTCCTTTTGATATTATAATTATTATGGGTGCAAATGGCTAAAAGAGGTCCTTATGATGCATTCTGTATGTTAAGACTTTACAAGCAGTAAGTATAACATCAGGTAAAGTACTTAGCAGTCTCAATAATACATCGTCTACAATTAAAAACAAAATGTATGGATTTCATAAGGTTGCCATGGCAAAAATGAGCACAAAACATATGTAGTAGGATCTGTTCTTCAAACATCCACACACAGCTCTGCACATATTTGCGTCTTGGCCTGTAACTAATGCCAGCCAGGTTTTCAAAAATTGCTTCCACATTCTCTCTCTCTCTCTCCCACTCACTCACAAGCGAGAAGCGGACAAGAGTGGACACCTTTCTTTAGAAGAAAAATGAAACACATTTTTTGCTGATCTCACTGCATTGAACACTAAATCACACTAAAATCACACAAAAAAGAAAAACCTTGAACTAAGAATGTTTTTTTCAAGTGGTTCCAAGATACTAGATTGAGTAATATGTACTCAGTGAATCCAAACAATGAGGACAAGTTTAATGTTTAGGTTTCAAATGCAAAATCAACATTAAACTGAAGAAGATATGATGACAGCAGTAGATAATTCACTTACAGCCTCAGAAAACAAGTCCTTCAACAAGTTTTGACTGAGTTTTCTTTGAATACTCTTTCAACACAACAATTACTTCTCAATAATTTAACTATGTGGAAATTTTGAAAAAACAGTTGAATTTCCTTTAAAGGAGAATTCCACCAAAATTCAGCAAAATTCAGCTGTCAAATTCTAAACAAAGTCATTCAGAGCAGCTTCATGTGATTACTTGTATAACAACCTTACAGATTTCTTAACAGTGGTGGTGATAGGAACTAGGGGTTGTGATGTCTACAATGAAAAAATCATCATTTTATTTACTATCCAAAACCACTACTGAACCTATACATATGTTCTGAGGTTTTGTATGTAATGTTTATGACATGCACTTAATAATCTGATAACTGCAGAAAATCAGATTTTGTCAGTAATCCAATCAACACGTTTATATACACTTG